CCTATACTATTTTAAAGAGGCCATTGACCAAGAAGTCAGAACAGCCTATGGCGTCCGGGTGGTGCCTGAGCGACTGCACGACTGGTTTACCATGTCCATAGCTCTAGACAGAGAAATCCACCCCCACCACAAAATCCCAGCAGAGAAGCATCCTTGGAGAGCTTTAGCTAGACGGCCCCTTTCAAAGCCTGCTGAATTCACCTCCCCTCAACCGGCAGGGGTGATTAAATGCTATCAGTGTGGACAACCAGGACATTGAGCTTCTGAGTGCCGGACCCCTGACCCAGTTCCACAGTAATGTCCTGCCACAGCTGCACAAGGCAGAAGGGCTCCAAGGAAGGCCCCAGACACCAGTCGATTCACCAGACAAGACGTAGAGGTTTCCCTCCCCACTGAAGAGAGCGAGGAACCTCCGGCCAAAGAAACCGCTCCCGGTGAGGCTAGCAGAGATGAAGACCCGATGGTGAGTTCACTCATCCCCCCCTTTCAATTAAAGTGAAACTGGTGGTGCCAGAGAAAGGGAAGCAAGGAGAACTGCCAGCAATAATAGATACTGGCTGCACCAGATGTTTAATTGGACTTCCAATTGTTGAACAATTGGGGATCAAAACAACAGCCTTAAAGCGCCCAATTAAATTTCACCAGGTGGATGGGACGTTAATTGGAGGGGTCCCCACCACCCAAATTACAGAACTGGTTAGATTAGAAATCGGAAGACATCATGAATTTATATGATTTATAGTAACCCCAAAGATGTCAGAATCTGTCATACTGGGCCTGGCTTGGCTGGACAAATGGGCCCCCACCATCAAATGGGAAGATGGATACCGGAAAATCATAATGGGGGTTGGCCTACTACCCCCCTGCCCCTCCTCCCCAGGAATAGCCCACCCATAAGGGCCAACTGCCAGAAACAGCAGTAGCTTGTTCAGACAGGCCTCCAGGCGAACCTCAAATTCCTAAGGTTTATGCAGACTTAGCTGAAGTGATCAGCGAGAAGGAAAGTAACCTCCTCCCCACTCATCGGCCCATGGATTATGCCATCGAATTAGAACCGGGAGCCAAGTTGCCAAAACCCAGGATGTACTCCATGACACCTGCTGAAATGACCGAGTTGAGGAAGTACATTGACACCAGCTAACCAAAGGGTTCATCGAGCCTGCAAAATCCAGGGTGGCTACTCCCGTATTGTTTAAAGAAAAGAAAGATGGGGGGCTGAGATTGTGTGTCGACTTTAGGGGAGTAAATTGCATTTGCATACAGAATACCTACCCCCTACCACTAATGAAAGACTTGCTGAACCATTTGTCAAAAGGCAAGATTTTCACCAAGTTAGATGTAAGGGAAGCCTACTACCGGGTTCGCATAAAGGAGGGAGACAAATGGAAGACTGCTTTTAACTGCCCCCTGGGGAGCTTCCAATTCCGGGTCATGCCTTTTGGACTACAAGGGGCCCCCGCAGTCTTCATGCAACTGATCAATGAAGTTCTGCATGAGCTCCTGTATAAGGGGGTCCTTGTTTATTTGGATGACATTCTTATATTCAGCGAAAATATGAAAGCACATGTCAAATTAGTCAGGCAAGTGCTGAAAAAACTCCTAGTGGCCAAACTAGGTGTCAAAATGACAAAGCTGTCAAAATGCAAGTTCCATAAGGAATTCTTGGACTACCTGGGATCCAGGGTGTCAAATAAAGGAATCGAAATGGACCTGGGGAAGTTGAAGGCAGTGCTGGACTGGCAACCCCCATGAACCCGTAAGTAACTTCAAAGCTTCCTGGGGTTTGCAAATTTTTACAAACAATTCATCCCTTCCTTCACTGAGGTTGCTCTCCCCTTGACAGAATTACTAAAAACTGGTCCGTCTCCCACCAAGCCAAAACCTAGCCAACCCCTAGCTTGGACAATGGACTGTCAAAAATCCTTTGAACAATTAAAATGCCTATTCGCAGTGGAGCCGATCCTCCAGCACCCTGACCCAAATAAATCCTTTGTGGTCCAGGCTGACGCGAGTGATGTGGCGGTGGCTGCTATTCTATTGCAAAGGAATGCCCAAAACGAACTAATGCTGTGTGCTTACATATCGAGAATGTTAACGGACACTGAGTGCAGATGGGTGGTATGCGATGGGCTCTCCTATCCTGGAGACACTTCCTAGAGGGAATTAATGAGCCTTTTGAAGTGTGGACTGACCACAAAAATCTCAAGGTGCTGAAGACCCCATGGAAGCTTTCCCCCAAGCAGGTTTGCTGGGCTCAGTATTTCAAACACTTTAACTTTAACCTGAAATACATTCCGGGGGGGAAAAACCTATTAGCCGATGCTCTCTCCCATAAGCCCCAGTTTGACAGCCAACAAGAAGTGATAGTTCATGCCATGATCTCTGAAACTCAGCCAGCAGCCCAAGCCTGGCGCAAGCCATGCCATGGTTCCAACCTCCCTGAAGACAAGTTGACAGCAGAGCTAAAAACAGCGCTCTCAACTGATTCCTGGTTCAAGGAAAACCAGACGAACCTAATCCTAAGAGAGGGATTGACTAGTAAGGGGAGTAAGATTTATGTGCCCAGCAGCATGCGACTCCTGGTGCTAAGGAGGGGTCATGATTCTCAACTAGGGGGCCACTTTGGATTTTTAAAAAACCCTCCATTTGACTAGGAGACAATTCTGGTGGCCAAGAATGAAAGCTGATGTAGAAGACTATGTGAAAAGCTGCGCCACCAGGAAGTCCAGACCAGGGAAGCCGCCTGGGCTTCTCCAGACTGTGGCCGAACCCACCAAACCCTGGGAGGAGATTGCAATTGACTTCATAGTCAAACTCCCTGACAGCGGGGGGAACAAGGTGATTTGGACTGTCATTGATTTATTCTCCAAACAAGCACACTTCACTGCCTGCAACGGACTACCCTCAGCCAAGAAGCTGGCAAAGCTTTTCGTGAAGCACATCTGCAGACTACATGAGGTTCCAAGGAGAATAATATCAGATTGTGGGATCCAGTTTACTGCTAAGTTCTGGAAGGAGTTCCTGTGGTCCATTGGGTTGTCCCAGGGGCTTAGCTCAGCTTTCCACCCTTTGATTAATGGATCAGCTGAAAAATTGAACTCAATGGTGGAATAATACATTAGATGTTATGTAAATTATCAACAAGAAAACTGGACAGACTTATTACCGTTCGTGGAAGTGGCTTACAATAATGCAGTACACAACAGCACTGGGTTGACTCCTTTTCAGATAACTACGGGCATGGATTTTGTGCCAATGCCTGAGTTGCCTAGAGAGCCATCCACTTCCATGTCCCTAACAAAATGGATGACCTCATTAAAAAAGGGTTGGGAGAATACTAAGAAAGCTTTAGCTGAATCAGCAGAAAAATATAAGGCCCAGGCTGACAAACGCCGGTCTCTCCAACCACCTTTCCGAATAGGAGATAAGGTGTATTTGTCAACCAAATACCTAAGATTGAGGTTACCTAGCAAGAAGTTTGGACCCAAATTCATAGGTCCCTTTCCTATAGTGAAAGCGATTAACCCAGTGACTGTCCAATTTAGCCTCCCTCGCATATTAGACTATACAGGGGTTGGTTACAATATTTGGTACACTGGAAAGGGTACCCGTTGTCTGAAGCTACTTGGGTGAAAAGTTGGGATGTGAATGCTGATACTCTAGTAAAGCAATTTCATAATTTCCCTGAGTAACCAAAAGGTCCGCCTGGAGGGGGGAGAGGGGGTTAAGGGGTCCTGTACAAGGTGTTAACCCCTTCTTTTGTGTTTTATCTGTTTTATTTTTCAGGGTGTGTTTTTTTCTGCAGGGGGGCACGCCTGTCAGTTTGGAAGCCATATTAGGCCAGAAGCTTCCATGCTGCCACCTTCTCATGTGTGGGAAAGTAGGAGGGATTTAGTAGAGGGGTTGTCTGTGGACATAATAGCATTCTTCCTGTTGGTCAAGGTCAGGGCAGTCCTGCATCTGGAGAAGGAGTGGTCGGAGTGATGTCTCAAGATGGGATGGTGGTTGATTGGAACATGTGATCGACTGAGGACTGAGGAGATGGTTTTGGAGGTTTTGATTTACTGAGGGTAAAATTTACCTCTCAGATTCGGGTTTTCCCAGATGTGCCAATTTACCTATTCTAGTAAATAGAACTTTGAAAATGCTTGCTTCAGAGTCTTTACTTGGAGCTGGGGGTTTTTCTGGAATGCTGACAAGGTAGTAAAAAATGCTTTAAAAAAGTTTTTTAAAAAAAGGCTCTGACGATCATAGGTGTGCCCCACAATCATCAGCAGTTTTTTTACCTTTTAAAAGCATTTTTTTACTACCAGTTTGGGCGAATAGGTAGTAAAAAATGCTTTTAATAAGTTTTTAAAAAGGTTCCAACTATTGCGCACCACAGCTGATCACCCCACCCCCTGCGCTGTTTTACTTTTACTTACTTTCCCAAGCCTCCTTTTGGTGCGCACTGCACATGCGTGCAACATGCGTTTGGTGCGTGGCGCACATGCATGGCCCATTTGCACCACTCAGGTGAACCTGATGACAGTTAAACCTCCAAGTGGCCTTAACGACTCACTATAAGAATGCAAATGACCAGCTGTCTTCAAGAAGTATAAATCCTTCCATTCCCCACCATCCAGTCAGAGCTGAAGAAGCTTCTTGGATGAGAAGTGAAACGTCTTCAAAGCAAAACCAGAAAGTCCAGTTTCCTCTTGAAAAAGCACCTTTTGGATTCTTAGTACAAATATCTTACTGGACTTACATTTTAACACTATATCAGCAATAACATCAAGACTAGTGTATTTAAGCCATGCAACTTACAAAGATACTTATGCAGAACAAAACTGGCTGTTTTAGCGGTCTAGGAAACATAAATATAACTTACTAAAAAGACATCAATCTTAAACTAATAACCTTAGAAGAATATTTTAGAGCTAGGAATTTGTCACTGTAAAGGCCCCATTATATGTAATCCGATGCAAGTAAAATCTACAAGGAAGATCTCACTACAGAAGTAAACATATTTCATTTATTTACATACATATAAGAAATGCTGGTTCTGGGCATTTACTTATAAAAAACCAACAAAATAGAAAAATAAAGCCAGACAGATAAGACATGAAGAGGTTGTGCTTAAATGTTTCCCAATCTTAAACCGTTTGACACTTTGAAATACTAATAGCAACATATACACTTTGAAACATTGAAAGTTAATTTTCCCAGTTATTAGTAAATAAGACTTTGACAACTCAAAGATAGTTAACTTGCTATGTAGTTTGCTATAATATATACTTTAAATGCATATTGTATTTAGAAGTGGAATGTTTTTATGCTCAGTCACAGCTGAGCTCTTAACCTTGGTCTAAAACATAGGCACATAAGTGGAGAAAATGGTTCTAGTCAACCATGAATCTGCACACACCTGTGATGTACCCAGATTTTTTTATTTCTAAAAATAAACAAAGGTTTTAAGTGCTGTGTTCAATATATTTGAATGTTATGTATTTAAATTAGAACTGAGCATTTAAATTCATCCTGGGCAAAGTCATGTATTTTGCCATTTTACCTATTGGACATTCTCCTTGCCTGCCCCAACTGCCAAAACACATTTTCAGGATGTGTGAGAGTCAGCAAAGAAGAAAAAAAGTTTTCCCAGTATTACTAGTGGAAAAATTTCAGTGAAAGAATATACCAATTGGGATTCATGCATCAAATATATATGTATGTGTAATCTCAAAATGATAGCACACCAGTATCAAAATGGCTGGAGCATTCCACTCCAATTCCACTTGAATTCAGGTTTACTTTTTAGAGATTTCAGAAAAAATCTTAGTACATATCTACATTATCTGAAATGTTCTTATAACATCTGTTTAAACAAAATAATAGTATATTTGCATTCTCTGCACTTGCAATGGCCTTGACATCATTACCACAGTTCAGCTCAGATTTAGTGACGATTTCTATGTTGAATTGTGACATAATTACCAGTAAGTGCCAACTATTAGAGTATTAAAGTAATTTTAAGAGGAAGAAAACTAAGAACAATTTTTAAAATGCCAACTTTTATTATCACTATGCAATATGTAATAGAACCTTCTTAGGAAAATAGAATTCTCGTAAGTGGTCTGTAAAAAAGTAACACCTATGTTTGTATATATAAAGTTAATTTATCACACAAAAATAAAAACTACTTTCACCAGATATTCATTTGTAACATCATTAAAATAAAGATAAACATTAATTTGTCCATGTGCATTTTTTAATTTACTTAAAAGCATACAGCTGCCCAACTCAAAAAGTAGATTCAGAAAGTAATTTTGGTTTGTATTAAAACAATTCAGATTGTGACATATTTCTCATAGGCATTTTTTTATAGTGTCACAAGAATGTTTAAGCACAGAACCAGAAGCAACTGTCCCAAGGATATTAAAAGCACCATGATTACAAAAGATAATGTTAACGGCAATCACTTGATTTACAGAAGTAAAATTATGTTGGAAGCTCATGGGATAGACTGTTCTTGTTCCTTAGAATATCTCCATAGCCAGGGAGACAGTGTTGTTTGCAGGAGATAGAATAAAAGAATCACACTTTCTGATCCATACAATGACAGCAGTAGCCTCATTTATGTTAGGCTCCTTGCTGTCTAGTTTTTCAAAAACAACATATTTTCAATACAAAATGTACAATGTTATTTATGAAGGTCTAGCAAAAATTATTCCAGCATTTCAATGATGCTTCTTTTCACGTTTGCTTGAGAGGTGCAGGAATATTGGCTGAAGCTTGTTCTAGATAAGCTAGAGGTCCCTGAGGCATCTCAGTAGGTTTCTTCTGCTGGATATTAATATCGTCTAAAACTTGTTGCCAATGACGAAGTTTTCCCAAGTGTTTCTGAATTAGTGTTTCTTTCCGCTGCAATTCATTTCTCAGTTCTGAAACATCCTACATGAAAAAGAAGCATACATGAAAGAAACTAAGAATCTCTCCTTGGAAAAACATTTGCATTTGAACAAAAATAACTACAAAACCTTAGAAAAATAAGTATAATGTGTTCCAATAAATTATCTGAATTACACTAATAGCTGCTTCCTTTCCTTAAACAATTAACTCCTCGTGATGAATTTCTATCTCATTTTTAATTACAATAGTCTCACACTAGTTCTTATGTGTTGCACAAAAATAAAGTGATTTTTTTTCTTCATTTTTCATCAAGAACATGATGAATTATGGTTATGGGTATCACCAGGCTAATCTTTGGCCATAATAAAGTTTAAGCTTCAAGTTTATGGATGTGCCTATGAACTTTTACGATTTTACCTAGATCATCATGAATTCAGTGGACATTTACCCAAATTAAAATTTATATTATTATACAGCAAAATAATTCCATTGCTGTGTAGATGATACAAACAATACTAGTCAGAGCACTAATGGCTGAATTTTAGTAGAAAAAAGAACACAAGGTGGGTGGGCAGAGGGGAAAACATTCCAAAAACAACTGGTTTTCTTCAAAATCTCGTTTAACATAAATTTAACAGATAAAATAAAAATACTTCCTATTTTTCCACAATAGCCTAAAGACCTGGCTCTGCTGATTAGCCTGGGGACCAAGTGGGAGGCTGGATGAGTGCTGGATTGATGGCCAACTACACATTTCTCCCCCCTCCCCCGTTTTGCTCTGTACTGCTCTCCACCCATCCATCTTTTTAATTATATCGATGTATTATTCTCATTGTATTGTTTTCATTGTTTATTTTATTGTTCTATTATCTTACTACTTCCATTTACGCTCCTTTCATTTTCTTCCCTTGTATTATTGTAAGCCACCTAGAGTAGCCACATGGCAAGATAGGCAGCAAATAAATTTAAGAGATTAGAGATAGCAAACCATCATCCTAATACAATGATCAATCACTTCTTCACCAAGTACATTAAAATACTCTGATGGGGGAGATTCAGCCCTAATTTATGTAATAAATGGTTTTAATCCCACTTATGCCTCATAGCAATATTCCAATTACTGTATTCCAATTACTGTGTTGTAATTTAGCATAGAATCAGATATCATGCTCAAGTCTAAAGAAAACCATATCCTTACCTCCTTAATTACTTGGTCTGGTTTCTGGACAGATAATTGTAACCTTTTCTGTAGAAAAAAGCATTCTGTTTGTCGTGCAACATCTAAAAATTTCTGGATACATTGATCAACACCTAGGAAATGAGCAACAAGTTTAACACTATTAAAAAATTAAAGTAAAGATAAATACTATGTAACTTTAACAAACCTAGTTAAGAGAAGTGTAAAATACTTGGATCTACATGTGTAAAATGATGTAAAACAAAAGGCCACCAGCTGTCCCATCAGCAGCAGAAGATGGCAAAGGTCAGTAGGGATGGTAGAAGGCAGGGGAGCAAAACAGCAGAGATGGGGAAGAGGAGATGGGCAAGGGGAGTTGAAATGGAGAGGAGAGTGGCAGGGCAGAAAGTATATTTGGGATCTATTGTTCGAGTTATGGGTAGTAGAACTATACCATCACTGGAGTGGGTAGAACTGAAATTTTGTAGTTCATTTTATGTGAGTTTAAGAGGTAAAATACATACTTTAGGCAGTTTAAGAGAGTGGGATGTTTCAATGTTACAAACATAGAACACAGAATCACAGAGCTTCTAGTCCAACCCCTTGCTGAAGGCAGACCTTACACCAGTGGTTCTCAACCTTCCTAATGCCGCGACCCATTAATACAGTTCCTCATGTTGTGGTGACCCCCAACCAGGGGTGGGTTCTAAAATTTTTTACTATCGGTTCTGTGGGCGTGGCTTATTTTGTAGGCGTGGCTTGGATGTCATGTGACTGGGTGGGCATGGCTAGCTGGTCATGTGACCGGGTGGCCATGGCTATGTGTATAGGGACTACTCAGAGGGCTGAAAAAAGTGATTTCTGACAGATCCTCACACTTTTGACTGGTCCTCACACTTATGACCATCCTCACATTTATGCCTGTGCAGCATTCTTAACAACCACGTCACTCATTTCACAACTGCTTCTCTTCACCATGGTGATAAGATAGGGCAAAAAACTTAAAATGTGAGGACAGTCGTAAGTTCGAGGACTGGTCAAAAGTGTGAGGACCAGTGAAAAATAACTTTTTCAGTCCTCTGAGTAGTCCATATGCATAAAAGGATACAGCAATAGAGAGGGATGAAGGAAGGGAAGGGAAATTAAGAGTAGGAGTGAGGGTAAGAGAGGGAGGAAGAGAGGAGGAGAAGGAGAAGAGCAGCGGGGGGAAGAGAAAGTAAGAAGGAAAGAAGAGAGAGAGGTGGTAGGTTTGAGGAGAAAGATTGCTGTACAATAAAAAAGATGAAAGGGAAGAAAACCAACCCCAAACAAATATAAAGATATTAAGATAAAGAATGAATTGTTAAACTTTAAAGAATAAAAGAATATATGAATAAATAGCAATAATTAGAAACACACATACAAACATACAATTGTATTTTCTTTGAACAGAGTATTTGGCCGGTTCACAAATTTAACCAGTGTTTAGTCATTTCAATTAAATTTACAATTTCTATATTTTCTTTTTGCCATATTTATTCCTCATCTATTTTTTTAAAAAAACCAATATTACCCTTCATCCTCATCTCTAATCTTAATCAAATTCAATTTTTCCCTTCTATTCTATATTATACCCCTTCCCATTGTCATCTATTTTTATATTCATCCTCACATTGGTTAATTACGTAATTATGTAATACAGTTGTTTAATACAAATTCAACATTTTAATATAAATCAGTTATATAACTATCTTTTTTGTATATCAATCAATATGAACATGAATGTTCCAATTATTTCCATGCAATCCAATTTCTTACAAATCAATTAATTATATTTACCAATAATAATAAACCAAATAATTTCCCCCATATATTCCTCCAAACCACAACTTAACCATTTCTGCTTTCAACACAATATACATTAATAGTATCTCAATTATTACAATTCCCTAGTTAAATAGAGCTTTTTTTCTTTTGTGTTTTAAAATCTTGAACCTCCTCTTTTGCCCTAAATTTCCCATTGTTTGCAGTTTTGCACCTACCATTTTTGGTGAGGAAAAAGAAAAAGAAATCTCTCTCTGCCTCATTTTGTCACGTTGCAGCAAAGACCCTGCTTTACTTTCAATTTCGTTTTTTCAGCATAGCTAGGGAAAAAAAAATCTGCTCCTCTCTTTGCAGCTAGCAACAGAGCCCTCCGCAAAACAGCTGAGAGCAAATCAGCTGAGAGTCTGGAGGCTGATCAAATCAATTTATGGTAATTAACCTATGCTGAAACTGAAAGGGGTTGTTTTTTTCTATTTTTGCAGGCACCGGTCTTCTCATTTGTTTTCTTTTAACACTGATCAGCTGTAGGGCGGCCCTTTGAAGCCCCGCGGCAAGAATTGAAATGGTTTGTTTCCCTCTAGCCATAAACTGGGATTCAGGAGGCAGCAATAGATTGGGAGTGGGCGGAGTAAGCGAACGGCAAACAGCGATCCAACAGAGGCAGAGGGTGAGGGTGAGTGAAGGCAGGGGGGGGCGAGAGAGGGCTTTGGCGACCCCTGTGAAATGGCCGTTCGACCCCCAAAGGGGTCACGACCCCCCAGGTTGAGAACTGCTGCCTTATACCATCCCAGTCAAACATAAAAGCTCAGGGCTACACAGCATTCCCTCCCCAAGCCCCAATTTAAAACCTGAAATTATAACCAGGTAGTCCTTGCTTAATTATTCTAATTAGGACTAGAATTTGTCACAAAATAATGTGGTCATGCAGTCATTAGATGAAACAGTACATGAGCACACTTTGCAACTGCTGTTCCACTAGTCCCAGTTGCAGTCTTTAAGCGAGAACCTCGTGCTTTTCAAGAGGTAACAGGACTGTTGTTTTTGTTTGCAGACATTTCGCTTCTCATCCAAGAAGCTTCTTCAGCTCTGAATAGATGGTGGGGAATAGGATTTATATTCCTTGCAGACAGCTGGTCATTTGCCTTACATCACCTGAGTAGTGCAAATGGTTGTGAAGCCTCTTGGAACTGCTGAAAGGATTGTGTTGTGGAACTGTGCTTTCTGCAGGATGTTTTCTGTCCTGTGTCCCTTCACTGTTGAGCACAGGCACAGGCTGTTGGGGATGAGTCTGAGTTGTCTTCATCTCGAACTGAAGTGGAAATGGTTCCTGTAGTCTGCAATTTTTCTGGAAATCTGTTCACACTCCACATCATTCTAAGGGTGTTCATCCCAAACTGCATAGCTAAATTTCTATGGAGATTCTCAGTGATCCAGATCATGGATGTCCTAAAGGATGAGAAGCGAAACTTCTTCAAAGAAAAACAAGAAAGTCCCAGTTGCTTCTTGAAAAATCACCTTTGGGACAACCATGACCAGGATAACTGAGAATCTCCATAGATATCTAACAACAGGTATTTAAAAATCCCTCTAATTTTACCCATCTCTCAAGGGTCAAAAAGGGTAAGGTTCATTCTCCGAATGGGTTGGTTTCCAAACATTTCATTACCAGGCTAGCTAACACCTTCAAGAGAGTTTAGGAGATGTGAATGTCACTGTTCTTCTGTTTATAAGGGTTTCAGATGTGGGTATGTCAAGTAAGGGTCTTGTGATGGGTCAGCTGTGAGTCATCAGAGTCTTGTGATGGGTCTTGTGATAGGGAGGTTACATCAAACAAGGGTCATTGGGAGGTGAACTGCTGATGGGGAGGGCTTACATGGATTCGTTGAGGGTTGGTGCGGTCTCTGGTTGGTTGTCCGGTTGGTTTGCATTCTGAGGGGTTCGTAGGCTGGTTGTAGATTAAAGTGTCTATTGATGGAATTGCTTGTGGAGTGCCAGGCTTCAATGAATTCTCGAGTGGCGGATGGTAGCAGGGGCGATGATTATTGTGTTGTTCCAACTGAACAGATGCTGTTTGGTGTTGGTATACAGAGATTAAGGATTTGTGATCATGGCATATGACTGCCAGCCGGTGTCGGAGAAGAGAGAAGAGAGAATAGAGAATAGAGTAGAATAGAGAATAGAATAATAACTTTATTGTCAACTTTGAAAGTACACTAAGTGGCAAACATTAAAATGAAATTTCGTTGCATACATCTCTCAAAGGGTCACCATCCCGATATACATTACATAAACATGACAAAATAAATAAATACAAAATTATGTATATACCCACAAATATGACACAGAGGAACAATAGTCGTTCAGATGTATACATGTTCATGGTGTTAAAAACTAATCTTGTGAGTTTACCAGATGGATGGCATAGGGAACAAAGCTGTTACAGAATCTGATGGACCTGCTAGAAATAGCAATAGCACTTAGACTTATATATCATCACAGTGCTTTTTACAGCCCTCTCTAAGTGGTTTACAGAGTCAGCACATTGCCCCCAACAATCTGGGTCCTCATTTTACCCACCTTGGAAGGATGGAAGGCTGAGTCAACCTTGAGTCTGGCAAGATTCGATCTGCCAGATTGCAGGCAGCCACAGAAATAGCCTGCAATACTGCACTCTAACCATAACAAGAAGTGATCTTCCTATAATCTTCTTGACTGTCCTTACCACTCTCTGTATGGACTTTCTATCAGAGGCACTGCTGCCACCAAACCAAATAGTGATGCAGTTTGTTAAAAAAACTCTCAATCAGTGGAGTATGACTATCCTAGCTCTTTCTAAAATCTACAATGACCTTTGTTTTATTAACATTTAGAATTAGGTTACTTTTATTGCACCAGTCCACCAGAGCCTTCACCTCTTCCCTATAAGCATCTTCATTGTCATCCCGGGTAAGACCCACCACTGCCGTGTCTGTTGTGGTTCACTGGCAGCCTGCAGAGCTGGCAGCAGAGTCGGACAGTGAAGAGGTTGGGGAGGAATATGGGCCAGTGCTGGAGTCTGGGGAAGGCTCAGACGAGGGCTCTGCATCAGAGGCAGAGAAAGGGCCATCTGGAAGGTACGTGCTGTCTCCAGAGTCGGACCTGAGCAAGGCAGAGGAACAGGGGGAGCCTTTTCCCAGTGCGCGCATGTGCAGAGCTTCCAGAAGGCAAGAACAGTTAAAACAAAAAGGATGACGCATGAGTAGGGCTTGAAGATGATTGGCCCCTCCCATAAGACTTAAAAGAGGAGCAAAGGCACGTACGTGGGCCTTTGCAAGAAGCACAGTTGTTAATTCTGTTCAGTTTAAAGTCTGAAGCTGTGTTTGATTCTGGACTCCGTGTGGCTTTGCCAATTAGGTCTTTGGCAGCGTGTCAAGAGAGATAAAGGTGGATGATTATCAGCCTTATCCTAAAGGACTCTTTACAACTATTTGGGACTCATCTGTGAATGAACAGAATTCACAGCTGTTGCAATAAAAGAGGTTTTGGGGACTACTCATATGTTTTGCTGACTCAGGAAGGCTAAGTCAGAACAGTATCATCCACATACTTCACAATTTGATTCATAGCAGATTTGGCACAGCAGTCATGGGTCATCAAGGTGAACAGTAGCGGACTCAAGACATAGCCCTGTGGGGAACTTGTACTCAAGGAAACGGAATTGGAAACTTTTCTTCCAACTCGCAGAAACTGGGGCCTAATAAGAAAATCCAGTATCCAATTACGTAAGGCACCTCATTGATCAGTTGCTTGAATACCGCAGGGGCCTCCTATAGACCCAAAGGGAGCACCCAAAATTGGAAACATCCTAGAGGGCAATTAAACACAGTTTTCCATTTATCGCTCTCCTTGATTCGTACCTGGTAGTAAGCTTCCCACAAGTCTAATTTAGTGAAGATTTTTCTTTTGGCTAAACACACTAGCATGTCCATCAAGGCAGGGGATAGATATTTTCTATGCACACCGCATTTAGTCCTCTAGTCAATGCATTTTGTTCTCAGGGAACAAAACTGGGGCTGCCACTCGTGGCCTTGCTGGTTGAATAAATCCATGTTTTGTCTATGAAGGTATGAAGCTGTCCTAGCTCATGTGGAATCATCAAGTAAAGTTTAGGCTTTGGGAGCTTAGCCGCAGGAAGGATTTCAATACTGCAGTCTGTGGGGCAATGAGGCAGGAGCACATTGGAGCCTTTCTCACTAAACATATCTCATAAATCCCAATACTCCTTCGGGATTCTGGATTCACTGATTGGGTGTTTCCAAGCCACTGCCCCCAGCACCGTCTGCTTTTTGTTTCTTCTACCCCCAGTCTCTGGGATCTTTTCCTCTTTCTTGACCACTTTTTGCCAAATCTTTAAAAGCTCTCTCCTCCAATTCGCATAAGAGTTCCATTTCTGCAGCCAAGGCAGTCCAAGTAGGAGGGGCCTCTCCATCCCTGGCGCCACTATGAAACTGAGTCTCTTTATGCTTTCCCATTCTCATCTTCACTGGTTCAGTTATAAAATGAGCTGGGGTCCCTCCAGCCACGGTCCCATCTAGCTGGCAAAACGCTACAGGCACCCTGAGCCATTTGAATCTCAGTCCCAGCTTTTCAATGACTTCAGGGCTAACCACACACCTAGTGCAGCCCAAGTCCAATAAAGCCAATATCCTCCCCTTGGTCCCTGAGGAGGGCCCCCTTAGTTCCACAGGGATGGTTAAATGTCAACTTACCAGGTGTCGTTGTCACTTTCAGCCTCCCCTGAGCTGGTCGGAGCTCCCAACCCCTCAGATCCAGGAGGGGCAAATTCTGTGATCTCCATGCCTTTGAGTGCTGTCTCTCGGATATTTGGAGCTGGCTTTGTTGCTTTCTTCCATGGAGTTGTTGTGGCACTGAGGTTGGACTTGCTGGATCGGCATGCTGCAGCTCAGTAACCCTCCTTCCCATATCTGAAGCATGTCGTGGACTTCAGTCTAGGTTTGGCATCGCCTTTTGTGGTCCTGAAGTATTTTTTACGTGTGGGAGGGAAGGACTTGCCCCATCCACTAGCATCAGTCATGGGCAAAGTCGATCTCCACTTTGTCCATTAACACATACCAGCATTGTAGAGTGCATGGGCCCCCGCATGAGATGCAGGTGTGGTACACGTCATTGTTGAGGCAATCTTTGAAGCAGTCAATGAGGATGTCTTCGGGCCATGTGGCTAACTGGCAAGCCAATTCTCGGAACGCCTGGGTGTATGCAGCTGACTGTTGCCATTAGGTGACTGTCTTCATCTGGGTCAGAGGCTTGCGCTCTGCCAGTGGGTCTTTGAACTATTGGCGAAGGGCTGCCATAAAGTGGTCATAGTTATTGTGGAGGGAGACCATCCACTCGGCTGCTGCATTCTCCAGAGCAATGGTTACCTGTCTTATTCAGGCTTCTCCCATCTCCAGTTTGGCTCCATACTCCTGCATGTAGTTCCAGGCTTGCACCAGGAAGAACCCTATTTGCTCAGGGTCTTCCCCATACTTTAGCCCCAAGGCTGGGACCTTTGGGGCCCGCTGCCTTTGAGGACGGTCCCCACAGGCTGAGTGGCTTGTGCAGCAGCCACTGCCTGGGGTAGCATCACTTGCGCTGGCGCCAATTTAGGTAAAGTGGGTGTAACCCCCACCGTAGTAGCTCTATCCATGGCTTTGCCTGGGGTGACCCAGGAACCTCAGGTAGTTATATGTGCAAGAGTTTCTTGGGCTCTTTGACTCCCCCTAACTTGTTGTATCAAGAACAGGGGCTGTTTCAATATGACTTCCTCTGGGCTTCCTTCCAGGGAGCGGGGTCTTCCCTCTACCCCATGCTGATCTGAGCCTGATGGGCTTCTCATTGAACTCCAGTTCCTCTTGCCATTCCGCCTCGTCTCGAGCAGAGTATGGTCTAGTGGGGAGCTGGCTGTAACTCCAGTTTCCTCCAACTTACTCCCATGGTTGGACATTGGATGCTCGGTCCCCACGGTAGACTGCCATCTCGGGTTGACAATTAAAGCAGATCTTGCCTAATGTCAGGGCTGCCTCTGTCCATTTCCTAGGAAAGAAAAGCCCTTGGCTCTATATATTCAGAGAAAAGGACTTTTACTAGGAACGAACTGAAAGCAACAAGTTTCAGGTAAGATCTGAGGCAAAGTATGCGAAACAGCAACTTGAAACAAACCGTAGAGCCCACCCCCTTGTAGCTAGGCAACCAGAGGGCTGCTGCATATCAAAGTTAGAAGAAATGACCTTGGAGAGATAAGCAAAGCCCAGATCCTAATTGTAAAGTTGCAATGAAAAATTCTCTACTGAACCTTCCCCCCTTTTCCATGGCAGCAAGCAGCAGGCTAGCTGCCAGGAGTATTAAAACCTAATAGGCCCAGTTTGTTCATCAAATGCTGAGGAATGATTGTGTTGAACACCAAACTAAAATCAATAAACAGCCTTTGCACAGGAGTATTCTTCTCCTCCAGGTGCACTAAGCTAAGATGAAGCAAGAAAGGAAAGTGCATCATCTATAGAGCAGTTCTTCTGATAGGCAAAATGTAATGAGTCAATTGTAGGGGGAAGGCATGAAACCATATAGTCCTTTACCAGTCTCTCAGAACACTTCATTATAATGGAAGCAAGTGCAACTGGACGGTAATCATTAAGACATGTAAGGACCTTCCAAACAGCAGTTGTATCAAACCTGAGCACCTGCTCATCTGGGAGGGAAACAGCCTTCCTTGCTGGAATACCGTGGCCTCAAACTGTCCCAAAAACAAATTTAGCTTGTTTAGAGAATCCGTGTCACCCTTATATGTCTGGAAAGCTGCCTTACAGTCAGTAATGACCCGAATACCTTGCCACATGCGTCTCGGGTCCACAGGATCTTGAAAGAAATTCTGTACTTTCTGACTATAGGCCCACTTTGCTGTTTTTATAGCATGTCTCAAATCAGCTCTTGCTATTCTAAGTGCTGCCACATCACCTGATTTGAAAGCGGTGTTTCTCACCTTCAACATTGCATGAACCTTCTATGACATCCAAGGTTTCTCATTTGCTGTCATGACAATATTTCTAAGAACATTGTCCATACACTTTTGAATATAAGCAGAAACAGTAGAAGCATATTCGTTCACATCAGTATGTTGTCATATTTGTTCACATCAGTATGTTGTCCATTCGATGTAGCCTCTTTAAATATTTTGCAGACTTGAAGCAATCTTTAGAGCTTCCCTAGCTTCTGCTGTCCACACACTCGTTTTCTAATTGGTCTTTCTCTAATTAACAAAGGCTTATAAGTAGTTTACAGTCAGCATATTGCCCCAACAATCTTATTTTACTGACCTCAGAAGGATGGAAGGCTGTCAACCTTGAGCCGGTGAGAATTGAACTGCCAAACTGCTGGCAGTCAGCAGAATTAGTCTGCAATACTACAATCTAACCACTGTGCCACCACAGCTCTTGCAACTGTTCTTCATTTGTTTTTGGTTGCAGGCCATTAATCATCTTAGTTGCTCTTTGCACTTTTTCCAAAGTCTCAACATCTTTTTTGTAATGTGGTGACCAAAACGGGATGCAGTATTCCAGGTGTGGCCTTACTAAGGCTTTATAAAGTGGTACTAATACTTCACATGATTTTGATTCTATGCCTCTGTTTATAGAACTAAGGATTGTATTAGCTTTTTGGGCTGCTGCTGCACACTGCTGGTTCAATTGGTCACTATTGGCTGTTAAGCCTTCACTAATATTTATCAGCACAATTTCATAGATGGGTAATTCAACTCCAGCATGATCAAAACAGAGAAAGAGAAAAAGAGATGAGCATTCTGCATATACGTATTCTAAATTAAATTGAAGATAGACATCCAAACTTACCAGTTCTAATTTCTTCTTGATCTGTACCATTTACATAATCTTGGCTTACAAGGGATGCAAAGCAAGCCTAGATAATTACAAAAACCATTTATTACAAAAGCAGTTAATATTAAGAAGTTTATATTTTGGCACACATAAAGCTATACTAAAGTATATTTTTTACTTTCTTGAAAAATATACTTCTACAATATTTATTTCCAATTCTTTGCTCTATTAAAAATGACATACAATATTTAGTAGGTTCCAAACAAAAGAACTCATTTGACTGGATGGAATAAATAGATGACGCTGGAGATAAAATTAGAAGGTCTGCAAAATTAACTCTTTACAGTGTCTTGTTCAATACAATTTGCAATGTCAATAAACTATTTTCTTATAAGAGTTACAAGTTCATTAATTTTTAACTAACAAGCTATTTTTAAAGATTTTTTTTTTTACAAAAATTCAAATCCTTACAAAATATAGACATTTCACATGCCATTTTATAAAGCATTATTTTTAGAGAAAGGAATCCCTCTTAAACAAAAGTATTGCCCCTAAAACATGGTTTATTCTGGCTGCAATGATATGTTTCTGGAAAATAAGTATGATTCAATTTAGCAAATTTTCTCCCTTTCTTGCGAATATCCAGGAGAATCTTTTTATCCCCATAACCACCGCCCAGCGAGGTACACTAGGCTGAAAGTGATGGACCCAAGGTAATCCACAAAATTCCACAAGCCAAGGGAGATCCCGGCCATTATCAACCCACGCTGGCTTATTATAGAATGAAATGTTTCCTTATTCTGATCAGAAAATATATTTTGTTAATATGGGATTAACGGGCATCGCTATTCAAGCAGGCGGCCATTTAAACACAGAAACGGAAATCAAGATGAAGGAACTTCTCGGGCGAGCTACTTCATCTCTGTAGAAATTGCCAAAGAGGATGGCAATAGTCCTGCGTTTCCCCCACTTCAAGTGTCGATCTTTCCGTCATCTCTATGGTAGGAGAGGCCGCTCGCACTGCAGAGCCTACCTCAAAAGAAGCCTCCAGATCATCCACAAGGGTACCGATGGGGTTTCGCGGACCCGTGGGGTTCGGCGGAAGGAGTCCCGCGAGTCCCTGACCTCCGGAGGCCACCGGAGGGGGCGGCGGGGGAGGGGGCGGGGGGGGGCACCGGGCCCTGGTTCCCAAACATGCCACTCAGTCCAGTGGCCATAGTAACTGAGAGAAAGTTGAAGGAGCGATTGCGCAGGCGCAAGAGGAAACGAAACCGCGCTGGTACGTCACGACATCGCGAGACGAAGACTCGGGTTGGGTCTCGAAGGCGGAAAAGGCATTTTCTTTGGGCCTCCATGGAAATACATACCATACATGCATGTGTGCATACATTTAAAAAGTGCAAAACTTATCAGTAATGAGCAGGAGCAAGTTTTTGGGGCGTTATCCCGTACCCTTCAGTGCAGCAACCAAGCTGCTGCTGCTGTTGCTGCTGCTCCTCCTCCTCCTCCTCATTATTATTGTTATTGTTATTGTTATTGTTATTAGCTTATTTTCATGATAATCCCTCCCATTTTTCCCGCCAATACACCCATTTCTGCCAGGAGTTTGATTTCTAAGTGAGGTGACGATATTTTATTTGAAAAAATAAAGGACAAATATGAAAAAGGCAAATTTGCAAGAGATTCAGAAGGATAAAATAAATTATAACTTTGTTTAACAATAGAAAATTCAAGAGCAAAACCAAGAAAAAGTTTACAAAAATGCAGTCTATAAAAGTAACTAAAATCAAACAGTATTTGCAACATTATTTTTAAAAGACCCAATTTCCATATTTTACACCTGAATGAAAACGATTGGTACAATTTGTATTGATTTAAATTTAAATGACCAAAATAAAGGTCAAAAGTGAGTGAAAAGTAAATAAAACTTTTACAGGCAACAAGGAATATAAAATACTAAACTACGAGGCCAGAATTGGGTACTAAACTGATTCCTCTGAGGGTATAAAAAGGATGCCAAATCTTCCCCAAGGTGTGGCTATCTCCTCACATGCATTGTATCTATATGTTCTGGATATAGTCCCACTCAGTATTTTGGTTTTCTCATAAATAAAATCTGCTGCTTTTTGCAAGCCTCATCTTGAGTCTCTTTGGCATTCTGGTGACTCAAGTATATTTTGGGACCTTACAATATTAAACCAATGTGCTTCCAAACTACCAAAAAGGGAGGAAGACAATTCTTCCTAAGGGTATCCTGATTTTAGCCAGTTCAGAGACAGGAAAGTTGTTAAAATGAGCCATTTCCTAAGAAAATAATCTTTATTTCTGATGCAAACCAGCCTCTCTGTCCGAAAAGCACCCAGAGATGCTGCTTCAAGGCAGTCTGTCACCTGGAATTGCTCAGCCAGCCCTGTAGGAAGTATAATGCCACAAGCCCCTTTGCCCCTTCTACTGCACACACCAGGAGTCTGCAACCTTAAAAACTCAAAGAGCCATTTGGACCAGTTTCCCACAGAAATCTCTCTTTCACCCTCTACCTCTCCCGCTCCTTTCTTTCTCCCTCCCCCTCCCTTCCTCATCCTTCTCTCCCTCCCTCTTCCTCCCTCCCTCCCTCATCTCTCTTTCTCTCTCTCTCATCTCAAAGTCACTCATTCCTCATGTAGTAACTATCATCTCCAGTCATAGTCATTAAAAATCATAGGAGCTGTATTTTATCCTTTACAGAGAGCATCATGAAGTTTGGGAGAAACTATTCTAATGTAAAATGCCAAATGAAGAATAAATAGCAAGACATGGATTGTTGTGTTACAAATTTTATAAATCCGTCAGGTTTTTTGTCTTCCTTGTGCATCTTCTTGTTCTGCAGCTCAGTAGATTAGATAAAACAAATCAAGGATTTTAGGGGGAATAGATTCTTATTCTCTCTCTCCCTCCTTCCCTCTCTCTCCCCCATTTCCCCACCCCCAGGGAATAATTGTAAGGAAATTCGGCCATGTTCTTTCTGTCTCTGGAAAGATACAAAAATAAACATTGCATTGGAAAACGAGTGACTCTAAGGCTGTTACAGCACAGTGCCATGAGGTTGCCTCGAGGGGAGCAGACTCTGCTGCTGGGAGAATCTCTCTCTCACTGCCCGACTGCAGCAGGAAATGGCAGGCAGCCCTCTCTGTCTCTCGTCTCTCTCTCCCCCTCATCTTTCTCTTTCTCCTTCTTTTTCCCCCTTTCTCTCTCTCGTGTGTGTGCGTGTGTGTGTATGTGTGCACGTGCGGGTTCCCTCTTGAACCATTTCCAAAAACAGGCGAGGGTTGTTGTATTTTTGCTGATGTTGTTCTTTCTTCTTTGGGTGCTTTTTACCATATGATTTAAATCAAGAGTCATTTCAGGTTCCCAGATAAATGAAGCTCTTTCGTCCTCCTGCTGTGGCTCCCTGTCAGCTGGCTGCCCCCCCCCCACCTGTCCTGAGAAGAGAAGGGCGACGGTAGCAGATGGAGTCTCGCTCCGTATTCCAGAGCGGAAGCGAAGCACCCCACTCCTTGCCTCCTTTTCCAGCCCTTGTTGGGAGACAGCGACTTTTCTCCGCGTTGAGACACTGGCTGGGCTGCCCAGCTGCAGCCAATACTCCACATCATAATGGGCTCCAGGAGGAGGAGGAGGAGGAGGGGATGCCGTCTCCCCCATTGTGCAGCGTGCTACGTTTAAGTGCAAGAGCAGCAAGCAGCCATGGAGGCAGCGAGAGGAATATGGGGAAACTGGTGTCTCGGGGCGGAGAAAGTCGTGTGACTCCCCATATTCCTCCCGCCACCTCCATGACTCCTTGCTGCACTTGCACTTAAACTTAGTGCGTTGCACAATGGGGGAGACGGCATCCCCTCCTCCTCCTCCTCCTGGAGCCCATTATGACATGGAGCATCTGCAACCAGGCAGCCCAGCCAGTGTCTCGGCGCATCTCCCCCAGCGGCTAAGATGCATACAGCACCAACAAGGGCCGGAAAAAGAAGCAAGTAGAGGGGTGCTTCGCTCCCACTCTGGAATATGGAGCAAGTCTCAATCCATCGGAGTCACCCTTCTCTTCTCAGGGCAGGCAAGGAGTGACGGGGAGGGGAGGGGCCACGCAGTGGTGGGATCATCTGACAGGGAGCTGCAGGAGAGGGTCCAAAGAGCCGCATGCAGCTCTAAAGCTGCATGTTGCTGACCCCCAGTACACACTCTCCTGCTAGGAATGATGGACTGCCAAGTCCTTCCAGCACCCATTAGAAGCACAGGGCTGTTTTCCACAAAGCTCATTTTTCACCAAAACCCCATTGTAGGACAAGTCATATCCTTATGTAGGAAGTTAGTACCCACCCCTTTCCTGGAAGAGTGAAATATTTTAGGAAATATGAAAAAGGCAGAATATTATATTTCCTTGGATGAGAAATGGATAAGCATGTTTTGAAGCAGCTCCCATCTTCCTGCCCCCACCCTTTGTCAATGGGCCATTAAGGCTTGGGCCAGTCTATTCTACATAACAAAGATCTACCTTCTTCAGGCAGAGCCATAGTAGGAATTGCCAAAGATCCAACAAAGATAGGATTAGCCCTCACAATAGAGGCAGAAACTCACCACATGTGACCTGGGAAGCATGTGACCTGGGAAGCACATGTGACCATCAGCCAGCAAGGCTAGCTAAGACCCCCACCCCCTTGGAGTCTGACAACCAATCAGGATACTCTTTCGGGGGCCCACGAAATGCAAAGCCAGAAAGAGCATAAAAACCCTTGGACTCGCTGTATTCCGCCCTTTTCTGTTCAGGAACTCAAGCCATGTGATCCTGTCCACCATTAAACCATCTTTCCAAGCAGTCTCCATGTTTCCAGTGTCTTTTTCCCCACTTGGAGCAGAACCTAGAAGGAGATTTCTTCCAACACTTATATAGCATCCTCTATAAAATTCAAATTTCACCAGCTGGCATGCAGAAATGGGAGCCTTATTCATGCTGGCATAAGGCTTCGCCTCTTTTTAATATTCTGCCCAACCATCTATGAAACAAATCCTTTTGGAAGGCATATTCTGCAAAAGACAAAAACCTCAACAGCCAGAAGTGTCAGATGATATATTTATTATATGTAATAGCTGTGTATCTATTATTCAATCCATATTATAACTCCTGTTGGTTTAGACTGATCACTCTTTGAATACCAAATATAGGACAGGCTTCTGAAATGAAGATTATAACAAGTGAATGTGATTTAGTAGAATTCTATGGAATGAATTTATAGTCTATCACTTGGATCATTTCAAAGTAGCCTCCCAAAATTAAAGTAAAAGATGGATGGCCCTTTCGAATTTTATCTGTACACTGGCTGATTCCAAGTTCAAATTAACCATTTTTAAAGCCAGTGGTGATCCTCACAAAGCTGCTTTCTAGAAGCTTTGCTTGTCTAGGGCCAGTCGAGTAATAAACTCAACCAGGGTACGTGTTGGCCTTCCCGCCATGCCTTTTCGCAGATATGGAACCTCATCTTTATTTTCCATTACACCAGCAATATCTAAATGAGCCCAGTGAGGAGCAGTCACAAATTCTTTCAGGAATGCAGCAGCTGTGCATGCACCACCAGACCTGATGGGAGAAAGATAAAGTTTAGTCACTTTGTTAAAGAATGAAATAAGATTGGTTTGGCATGATCTGTTTTTAACAAACCTGTGCTGGCTATTATAACTTTTTTTGTTTCTATATGTTCACAGATCTAGTTTTTAAATTTATTTTTCCCCAGTATCTTCCCAGGTATTAGTGTTAGGCTGATAGGTCTGTAGTTTTGTTTTTCTTCTTTTTTTTGAAGGTGGGAACCACATCAGTTCTTTTCCAAAACTCTGGTAGTTTCCCAGTGCTCCAAGATTTTTTTAAGATATACAATGGTTCTGAGATAACATCTGTCAGCTCCTTCAGAACTCTGGGATGTAATCTCTCAGGTCCTGGTGATTTATATTCATCAAGGTCAGATAGGCATTCTCTTACAGTTTGTATCCTTCTATCAGTACATTCCAGTCATCTGTTTCATCCCACCAAGTTTCATTAATGGCAACTATATCATATCTGCCTTCATGTACTAATATTTCAAGTTCATCCTGTTTGTTCCCTAAACTTTGAACATCAGTGTGTAAGCATTTCAATCCTTTAGTGGTCTTGGGTATGTTTCTTATATCTCCTACTCTGTAGCTGGGATTTCCATCCTTTCCATCACACTCTACTTCATTATGTTTTTCTTTTTTCTTTTTTTTTCTCTTACTTCCTTCTGCCCTTTGATTATCTAGTGGCTTTTCCTTAGAATTAGGTTCTATAGGTCATGAAAATTGCCCCCCCCTTCCCCCTCAATTTTAGTTTAAAGCCCTT